TGCTATGCAGGGTGCTGTCTTTACTGCGGTGGCGAAGTCTGGCAAAGGTGCTGTGCAGGGTGCTGTGCAGGGGCTGTGCAGGGGGGCTATGCAGGGTTCTGTGCAGGGTGCTGTGCAGGGCGCTGTCCAGACTGCAGTGGCGGGTGCTCTTCAGACTGCAGTGTGGCGAAGTCTGGCAAAGGTGCTGTGCAGGGTGCTGTGCAGAGTGCTGTTCAGACTGCAGTGTGGCGAAGTCTGGCAAAGGTGCTGTGCAGGGTGCTGTGCAGAGTGCTGTTCAGACTGCAGTGGCGAAGTCTGGCAAAGGTGCTTTGCAGGGTGCTGTGCAAGGTGCTGTGCAGGGTGCTGTGCACCGTGCTGTCCAGACTGCGGTGGCGAAGTCTGGCAAAGGTGCTGTGCAGGGTGCTGTGCAGGGTGCTGTGCAGGGTGTTGTCCAGAGTGCGGTGGCGAAGTCTGGCAAAGGTGCTGTGCAGGGTGCTGTGCAGGGTGTGCTGTGCAGGGTGCTGTGCAGGGTGCTGTCCAGACTGCGGTGGCGAAGTCTGGCAAAGGTGCGGTGCAGGATGCTGTGCACGGTGCTATCCAGAGTGCAGTGGCGAAGTCTGGCAAAGGTGCTGTGCAGGGTGCTGTGCAGGGTGCTGGGCAGGGTGGTCCAGACTGCCGTGGCGAGACTGCGGTGGCGAAGTCTGGCAAAGGTGCTGTGCAGGGTGCTGTGCAGGGTGCTGTGCAGGGTGCTGTCCAGACTGCGGTGGCGAAGTCTGGCAAAGGTGCTGTGCAGGGTGCTGTGCAGGGTGTTGTCCAGACCTGCAGTGGCGAAGTCTGGCAAAGGTTCTGTGCAGGGTGCTGTGCAAGATGCTGGGCAGGGGGTGCTGCGCAGACTGCGGTGGCGCTGTGCAGGGTGCTGTGCAGGGTGCTCTGCAGGGTGTTGTCCAGAGTGCGGTGGCGAAGTCTGGCAAAGGTGCTGTGCAGGGTGCTTTGCAGGGTGCTGTGCAGGGTGCTGCGCAGGGGGGCTGTGGAGGGTGCTGTGCGGGGTGCTGTGCAGGGTGTTGTCCAGACTGCGGTGGCGAAGTCTGGCAAAGGTGCTGTGCAGGGTGCCAGACTGCGGTGGCGAAGTCTGGCAAAGGTGCTGTGCAGGGTGCTGCGCAGGATGCTGTGCAGGGTACTGTGCAGGGTGCTGTGCAGGGTGCTGTGCAGGGTGCTGTGCAGGGTGCTGTGCAGGGTGCTGTGCAGCGTGCTGTGCAGCGTGCTGTGCTTTGGATCCCACGTTGGGAACCATCAGTTCCAACCTTTAGGAACTGGAAGTTCTTTGCAATGGTAACCCATGGTTCCCAGGTTGGGAACCAGGAGTTCCCACCTCTGGGAACCGGCAGTTCCTTGCAATGGTAACCCATGGTTCCCAGGTTGGGAACCAGGAGTTCCAACCTCTGGCAACGGGCAGTTCCTTGCAATGGTAACCTGTGGTTCCCACGTTGGCAACAGTGAGTTCCAACCTTTGGGAACCGGCAGTTCCTTGCCATGAACCAAACGCAAACATTCTAGTACCGGCGCATTATAAGCAAAACAAAGCGGTCTTTACCGGTCCATTAAGCAAAACCATAAAGTTGTAAAGAAACTGTTTTCATATCATTTTAACATGCACCTTTTTCGTGCAAAAACATTTTTATGCCGGCCCAACAGCCAAACGCAAACATTCCGCTACCGGTCCATCAAGCAAAACAAAAGGTTCTGTTACTGGCTCAGCAAACAAAACAAAACAACATTAAGAACCATGAGTTCTAACTTTTTGCAATCAACAGATCCTTCCACTGGTAACGTTACTTTTTCAGGCTTGGAACCATGAGTTTCAAGCTTTGGCAACCGGCAATTCCTTACAATGATAGTTGCTTAGCTTCGAAAACATAAATTCTAACCTCTGTGAACCGGCAAGTCCTTGCAATGGTAACCTCTGGTTCCCAGGTTGGGAACCGTAAGTTTCAAGGTCTGGGAACCGGCAGTTCCTTGCCATCGCAACCTTTGGTTCCCACGTTGGGAACCATCAGTTCCAACCTTTAGGAAACGGAAATGGTAACCTCTGGTTCCCAGGTTGGGAACCGTAAGTTTCAAGGTCTGGGAACCGGCAGTTCCTTGGCATGGTAACCTTTGGTTCCCATGTTGGGAACCATCAGTTCCAACCTTTAGGAACTGGAAGTTCTTTGCAATAGTAACCTGTGATTCCCAGGTGAAAACCGGCAGTTGCTTGCAATGGTAACCCATGGTTCCCAGGTTGGGAACCATGCGTTCCAACCTATGGGAACCGGCAGTTCCTTGCCATGAATCAAACGCACACATTCGGGTACCGGTCCATTAAGCAAAACAAAGCGTTCTTTACCGGTCCATTGAGCAAAACCATAAAGTCGCAAAGAACATATCATTTTAACATGCACCTTTTTCGTGCAAAAACATTTTTATGCCGGCCCAACAGCCAAACGCAAACATTCCGCTAGCGGTCCATTAAGCAAAACAAAAGGTTCTGTTACCGGCTCAGCAAACAAAACAAAACAACATTAAGAACCATGAGTTCTAACTTTTTGCAATCAACAGATCCTTCCACTGGTAACGTTACTTTTTCAGGCTTGGAACCATGAGTTTCAAGCTTTGGCAACCGGCAATTCCTTACAATGATAGTTGCTTAGCTTCGAAAACATAAATTCTAACTTCTGGGAACCGGCAATTCCTTGCAATGGTAACCTCTGGTTCCCAGGTTGGGAACCGTAAGTTTCAAGGTCTGGGAACCGGCAGTTCCTTGCCATGGTAACCTTTGGTTCCCACGTTGGGAACCATCAGTTCCAACCTTTAGGAACTGGAAGTTCTTTGCAATGGTAACCTATGGTTCCCAGGTTGGAAGCATGAGTTCCAACCTCTGGGAACCGGCAGTTGCTTGCAATGGTAACCTCTGGTTCCCAGGTTGGGAACCATGACTTCTAACCTGTGGGAACCGGCAGTTCCTTGCAATGGTAACCTGTGGTTCCCACGTTGGCAACCGTGAGTTCCAACCTTTGGGAACCGGCAGTTCCTTGCCATGAACCAAACGCAAACATTCCGGTACCGGTCCATTAAGCAAAACAAAGCGTTCTTTACCGGTCCATTAAGCAAAACCATAAAGTTGTAAAGAAACTGTTTTCATATCATTTTAACATGCACCTTTTTCGTGCAAAAACATTTTTATGCCGGCCCAACAGCCAAACGCAAACATTCCGCTACCGGTCCATTAAGCAAAACAAAAGGTTCTGTTACCGGCTCAGCAAACAAAACAAAACAACATTAAGAACCATGAGTTCTAACTTTTTGCAATCAACAGATCCTTCCACTGGTAACGTTACTTTTTCAGGCTTGGAACCATGAGTTTCAAGCTTTGGGAACCCGCAGTTCCTTACAATGAAAGCCGCTTAGCTTCGAAAACATAAATTCTAACTTCTGGGAACCGGCAATTCCTTGCAATGGTAACCTCTGGTTCCCAGGTTGGGAACCGTAAGTTTCAAGGTCTGGGAACCGGCAGTTCCTTGCCATGGTAACCTTTGGTTCCCACGTTGGGAACCATCAGTTCCAACCTTTAGGAAACGGAAGTTCTTTGCAATGGTAACCTATGGTTCCCAGGTTGGGAAGCATGAGTTCCAACCTCTGGGAACCGGCAGTTGCTTGCAATGGTAACCCATGGTTCCCAGGTTGGGAAGCATGAGTTCCAACCTCTGGGAACCGGCAGTTCCTTGCAATGGTAACCTGTGGTTCCCACGTTGGCAACCAGTGAGTTCCAACCTTTGGGAACCGGCAGTTCCTTGCCATGAACCAAACGCAAACATTCCGGTACCGGTCCATTAAGCAAAACAAAGCGTTCTTTACCGGTCCATTAAGCAAAACCATAAATTGTAAAGAAACTGTTTTCATATCATTTTAACATGCACCTTTTTCGTGCAAAAACATTTTTATGCCGGCCCAGCAGCCGAACGCAAACATTCCGCTACCGGTCCATTAAGCAAAACAAAAGGTTCTGTTACCGGCTCAGTAAACAAAACAAAACAACATTAAGAACCATGAGTTCTAACTTTTTGGAATCAACAGATCCTTCCACTGGTAACGTATGCTTTTTCAGGTTTGGAACCATGAGTTTCAAACTTTGGGAACCCGCAGTTCCTTACAATGATAGTTGCTTAGCTTCGAAAACATAACTTCTAACTTCTGGGAACCGGCAATTCCTTGCAATGGTAACCTCTGGTTCCCAGTTTGGGAACCCTAAGTTTCAAGGTCTGGGAACCGGCAGTTCCTTGCCATGGTAACCTTTGGTTCCCACGTTGGGAACCATCAGTTCCAACCTTTTCTATCTGGGGTCTATGCTAATTGATGTTTTTGGTATCCATTACCGTTGTCATGGCTTTGGTACGCTGATTTGTCCAACTCCACAGGCTGCGGCAGCATGTCACACTGACATGGTGAAGTTCCTCATACAACAGGGGGCTTCAATTGACCTGAAGGACTGATGATGGGGTGTTCAAACCTTGACTCATCCAGAACTCCTTTTGAAATCACATGAATCTTTCTCAATGAACTATTTTTGACCATGGTGATCTTCCATTTGTTGCTTCGGTGCTTCCAATGGAAGGATGCAAACAATGAGACCGCAAGAGATGATGCAGAATATTATTGTAAAGACACGGCCAACAGCAAAGTTCTCGAATTACTGCCGCCCTAACAAAGAACTTCTTTTGATCAAACCACGGTGTCCGTTACCAAGATTTGACCCAGCGTTGGTTGCGAAGAGATGAAAAAGGCCACGGATAGCCTCGAAACAATTGCAAGTCCAGGGCAAACTTGCACACTCACACACACACACAACCTTGAACATATTTGTGTTTTTGTTTCAAAGATGGTCAAAATGTGAACCTATTTTTTTGGTACAATAGTTTTCCATACAAACAGTGCTTGCAGGTGTGGTTGTCTAGCACCACATCATGAGCCACTGATACTCATGCACGGCATTTGTGCCTTCAGTTGTCGCGTGTGGCCTGCCAAGGCATGGTTGCCCGATGCGCAAACTATGTGTACTCTGAGGTTGGCCCGGTGTCAATTCCACCATGCATATCACATCGGACAAATTCAAACAGATGCTACCAAAGAATTGAGCAAAGGGACCATAAAAAAGTACCGTGTATACAGACTCTGTCTCATGAATGTCTCGGAGACATGTATGGTTTGATGTGCTGAACCTACTATATAAAACATTGAAACATGTGGTGCTTTTAGATCACAGAACTTTGAAAGGCAGCGTAGCTAAAGCCTCGAAGTTGCAGCCGTGCTCGAACTGCAAAAGGCTGGGAAGTTTACATCCATGATGCATGGAGGGGGGGCACCGCCGTCCGCTTGTGCAATGTCAAATCCTTTCAGATGGTCAGATCATAGGATTGCATGGCGTTTGGAACCAGTGGACATTTGGATAACTTTGGCTACCTGTGCGTTCCTTGCTCAAGTTCAGCGGCTTTTTCAAATCATGGCGCTCCCATGGAGCATCCGTTGCCTTGTCATTCTCACTCCATGCATTCGAGCTGCTAGGCCAGCTGCTCGGCCTTGGTTAGGGCTGAAGAGCAAATCTTGTGAAGATTTCGGGGCAACTGTCATGTATGGTCATTGCTTTTGCCCAAAGGAAAAGATGGCGACCACTGATTGCGGAAATGACGGAGTGGCAAACTTCAAGTTGGAGTCAGCAGCGACTGGCTGTGAGTGCATTGATATGCCACACCCGTGGCCATGTCCATCAGGTGATTTATTATACATTTCCAAACCCAAAAAGGGCAGCAAAGTGCTCTGCGTGTGCCTGGATGGGTATGTGGCCAGCCCTGCATGCAGAGCACCTGGGCTCCAGCAAGTGCACATCAAAGCAAAAGAGCCACCTGGTTGTGAATGCATTCGTAAAAATGAATTTGCACTGGAAGAGAAGATTCCAGTGGACGTGGCGGCCCTGCAATTTTGTGAGGCCACAGTAGATGCTGCGCGATTCCAGCTCTTGGACAGCGGGTATGAACACAATCACATACCAGGGGCGGTTCAAAAAAGCATTGCCTATACGCACGCCTGGCTCAAGCAGATGCTGCCAGTCCATGTGTGCCAGCAAGCGCTCAGTGCCTCCAAGGTGAGTATCACTGACTCAAGTAGCTTGGGTTTTGGGCGCATGGCACCACTGGTGGCAAAGGCAAATTCCGCAGATCGAAATGCTTGGGAACACGCATTGACACGGGTATGCCATGATGAATGCGAGCAGCTTGTCCGAGAAACCTTGGAGAATTTCCATGACATAGCAATGAAGGACCCTGAGAAAGGCATTTCATTTACCCGCTCGTGCGCATCGAAAGTTGTTCAGAAGGTCGAAGCAGAAACCCTTGGCTGCTGTAGCCGCGTGTGCGGGTGGAACAACGTCACCTGCATGTCGTGGCCATTCTTGTCTCCGAACCAGAAGATCCAGTGGGAAGCGCAATGCTGCTCGGAATGGAATGTGCTCAAGGGTTCCAGTCGGCAAAGGATGTGCGATTCTGTGCTTTCTCCTGCAGATGCGGCCAAGGTTTCCAAGAATGACGTCACTGAGCCTCCTGATGTTGACACAGATGCAGTGATTGTTGGGCAAGACTCCTTCCTCTTCTGGACCGATGCTGGCGTGAAATCCGACTTGGCGAAGGATTATGCTTCCATGGATGGACCTCCACAGGTGGGAGAACCTGTCGACATGTTGATTCTCGGCTAAGAAACATGTCTTTTTGTATACCTAAAATTCTGCTCGCGGGTTTTGCGTACAAAAAACGTTCGAAATGGATTACTATACCCAAACTTACAATAATTCGGTGTTTTCTTCAAATTTTGGTGAGGAAAGGGGATCCAGGTTTTTGTTCAATTTTATTGTCGAGTGACCAAGGATTTTGATGCACCAGAAGCATCTTCGGAAGAAGGGTTTGGATCAGGGTTGGTTTGAGGAAAAAAATCCCGGTGATGAGTCTCTTTTGCAGATGGGTGAAGGTTCGTGCGAGCCTCCGCCAGACATGGTCAGTTGCACTGAGACCTTCAAGAAGTGGTACCGGAGCACGTGCACTCAAGAAACAGGTTGGAACTACAAAAACAAGGCTCATAATCAAGCCTTGAAGTGCAAATTCTCAATGCCGGCTGAGATTGAGAAGACTCCATTGGCCTGCAAAAAGAAGTTTGGCAAAGAGAAACGGGTGGCAAACTACTTCGAGTTCAAGCCGGACGATCAGAATGTCGTATGCCAAAAGGTGGAGTCGTGCAAGTTTCTCGACAAGAATCATTTTGCTAAGATCGGTGACAAAGAGGGTGCAGAGGAGAGGATGAATTTCGAACAGATTGGTTTCTGGCATTTTGTGCCCTAGGCTCTGAAGAGGAGGCCTGAGGCCCGGCCTCGCAGAAAACGTGTTGCGGTCCGGCTGGACGTTTTAAATCTTTTCAGGGTTTTCCTGAGGCCCGGCCTCGCAGAAAACGTGTTGCGGTCCGGCTGGACGTTTTAAATCTTTTCAGGGTTTTCAATTTCTTGAATTATCTTGAACTAAAGGTGGTTCAGATATGTTCAGATGGTGAAGAGGAGGCCTGAGGCCCGGCCTCGCAGAAAACGTGTTGCGGTCCGGCTGGACGTTTTAAATCTTTTCAGGGTTTTCAATTTCTTGTTATCTTGAACTAAGGTGGTTCAGATATGTTCAGATGGTCTCAGAACAATCTTCAACATATTTGTGTTTTCTGTTCAAAGATAGTCAAAGTGTGAACCTAAATTTTTGGGTACAATAGTTTTCCATACAAACAATGCTTGCAGTTGTGGTTGTGTAGCGCCACACCATGATCAGTGATCAGCGGATACTCATGCACGACGTTTATGCCTTCGGTTCTTGCGTGTGGCCTGTCAAGGCATGGTTGCCCGATGCGCAAACCAAGTCTGAGGCCGGCCCGGTGTCAATTCCACCATGCATATCACATCGGACAAATTCAAACAGATGCTACCAAAGAATTGAGCAAAGGGACCATAAAAAGGTCTCGGAGACATGTATGGTTTGATGTGCTGAACCTACTATATAAAACATTGAAACATGTGGTGCTTTTAGATCACAGAACTTTGAAAGGCAGCGTAGCTAAAGCCTCGAAGTTGCAGCCGTGCTCGAACTGCAAAAGGCTGGGAAGTTTACATCCATGATGCATGGAGGGGGGGCACCGCTGTCCGCTTGTGCAATGTCAAATCCTTTCAGATGGTCAGATCATGGGATTGCATGGCGTTTGGAACCAGTGGACATTTGGATAACTTTGGCTACCTGTGCGTTCCTTGCTCAAGTTCAGCGGCTTTTTCAAATCATGGCGCTCCCATGGAGCATCCGTTGCCTTGTCATTCTCACTCCATGCATTCGAGCTGCTAGGCCAGCTGCTCGGCCTTGGTTAGGGCTGAAGAGCAAATCTTGTGAAGATTTCGGGGCAACTGTCATGTATGGTCATTGCTTTTGCCCAAAGGAAAAGATGGCGACCACTGATTGCGGAAATGACGGAGTGGCAAACTTCGAGTTGGAGTCAGCAGCGGCTGGCTGTGAGTGCATTGATATGCCACACCCGTGGCCATGTCCAGTCAGGTCGAAACCAAAAACGGGCAGCATTTGCGTTTGCTTGAAAGGGTTGGTGGCAAGCCATCACTGTAAGGCACCAGGGCTTGAGGAATTGCAGATAAAAGAAAAACAACCCTCTGGTTGTGAATGCATTGGTTCAGATTCGTTTGCCTTGGATGAGAAGATTCCAGTGGACGTGGCCGCTCTGCAATTTTGCGAGGCCGCTGCCGATCTTCTACGAGGTGAGCTCTTTAAAAATGGGTATGGTCAACCAGATGCACGGAGCAATCAATATGCAGTCACATATGCACACAACTGGCTAAATCAGATGCTGCCAGTTCATGTGTGCCAGCAAGCGCTCAGTGCCTCCAAGGTGAGTATCACTGATCCAAGCTTGAGTTTTGGGCGCATGGCACCACTGGTGGCAAAGGCAAATTCCGCAGATCGAAAGGCTTGGGAACACGCATTGACACGGGTATGCCATGATGAATGCGAGCAGCTTGTCCGAGAAACCCAGGAGAAGATCCAGGACATAGCAACCACAGACATTGACAACGGCATTTCATTTACCCGCTCGTGCGCATCGAAAGTTGTTCAGAAGGTCGAAGCAGAAACCCTTGGCTGCTGTAGCCGCGTGTGCGGGTGGAACAACGTCACCTGCATGTCGTGGCCATTCTTGTCTCCGAACCAGAAGATCCAGTGGGAAGCGCAATGCTGCTCGGAATGGAATGTGCTCAAGGGTTCCAGTCGGCAAAGGATGTGCGATTCTGTGCTTTCTCCTGCAGATGCGGCCAAGGTTTCCAAGAATGACGTCACTGAGCCTCCCGATGTTGACACAGATGCAGTGATTGTTGGGCAAGACTCCTTCCTCTTCTGGACCGATGCTGGCGTGAAATCCGACTTGGCGAAGGATTATGCTTCCATGGATGGACCTCCACAGGTGGGAGAACCTGTCGACATGTTGATTCTCGGCTAAGAAACATGTCTTTTTGTATACCTAAAATTCTGCTCGCGGGTTTTGCGTACAAAAAACGTTCGAAATGGATTACTATACCCAAACTTACAATAATTCGGTGTTTTCTTCAAATTTTGGTGAGGAAAGGGGATCCAGGTTTTTGTTCAATTTTATTGTCGAGTGACCAAGGATTTTGATGCACCAGAAGCATCTTCGGAAGAAGGGTTTGGATCAGGGTTGGTTTGAGGAAAAAATTCCCGGTGATGAGTCTCTTTTGCAGATGGGTGAAGGTTCGTGCGAGCCTCCGCCAGACATGGTCAGTTGCACTGAGACCTTCAAGAAGTGGTACCGGAGCACGTGCACTCAAGAAACAGGTTGGAACTACAAAAACAAGGCTCATAATCAAGCCTTGAAGTGCAAATTCTCAATGCCGGCTGAGATTGAGAAGACTCCATTGGCCTGCAAAAAGAAGTTTGGCAAAGAGAAACGGGTGGCAAACTACTTCGAGTTCAAGCCGGACGATCAGAATGTCGTATGCCAAAAGGTGGAGTCGTGCAAGTTTCTCGACAAGAATCATTTTGCTAAGATCGGTGACAAAGAGGGTGCAGAGGAGAGGATGAATTTCGAACAGATTGGTTTCTGGCATTTTGTGCCCTAGGCTCTGACCAAGAGGAGGCCTGAGGCCCGGCCTCGCAGAAAACGTGTTGCGGTCCAGCTGCTTTGCCCTTGGCGTTTTGTCTCCTTCACCACACGTTTTTAATCTTTTCTGGGTTTTTCAAGTTCTTAAATTATCTTGAACTAAGGTGGTTCAGATATGTTCAGATGGGCTCAGAACAATCTTCAACATATTTGTGTTTTCTGTTCAAAGATAGTCAAAGTGTGAACCTAAATTTTTGGGTACAATAGTTTTCCATACAAACAATGCTTGCAGTTGTGGTTGTGTAGCGCCACACCATGATCAGTGATCAGCGGATACTCATGCACGACGTTTATGCCTTCGGTTCTTGCGTGTGGCCTGTCAAGGCATGGTTGCCCGATGCGCAAACCAAGTCTGAGGCCGGCCCGGTGTCAATTCCACCATGCATATCACATCGGACAAATTCAAACAGATGCTACCAAAGAATTGAGCAAAGGGACCATAAAAAAGTACCGTGTATACAGACTCTGTCTCATGAATGTCTCGGAGACATGTATGGTTTGATGTGCTGAACCTACTATATAAAACATTGAAACATGTGGTGCTTTTAGATCACAGAACTTTGAAAGGCAGCGTAGCTAAAGCCTCGAAGTTGCAGCCGTGCTCGAACTGCAAAAGGCTGGAAAGTTTACATCCATGATGCATGGAGGGGGGGCACCGCTGTCCGCTTGTGCAATGTCAAATCCTTTCAGATGGTCAGATCATGGGATTGCATGGCGTTTGGAACCAGTGGACATTTGGATAACTTTGGCTACCTGTGCGTTCCTTGCTCAAGTTCAGCGGCTTTTTCAAATCATGGCGCTCCCATGGAGCATCCGTTGCCTTGTCATTCTCACTCCATGCATTCGAGCTGCTAGGCCAGCTGCTCGGCCTTGGTTAGGGCTGAAGAGCAAATCTTGTGAAGATTTCGGGGCAACTGTCTACATGTATGGTCATTGCTTTTGCCCAAAGGAAAAGATGGCGACCACTGATTGCGGAAATGACGGAGTGGTAAACTTCAAGTTGGAGTCAGCAGCGACTGGCTGTGAGTGCATTGATATGCCACACCCGTGGCCATGTCCATCAGGTGATTTATTATACATTTCCAAACCCAAAAAGGGCAGCAAAGTGCTCTGCGTGTGCCTGGATGGGTATGTGGCCAGCCCTGCATGCAGAGCACCTGGGCTCCAGCAAGTGCACATCAAAGCAAAAGAGCCACCTGGTTGTGAATGCATTCGTAAAAATGAATTTGCACTGGAAGAGAAGATTCCAGTGGACGTGGCGGCCCTGCAATTTTGTGAGGCCACAGTAGATGCTGCGCGATTCCAGCTCTTGGACAGCGGGTATGAACACGATCACATACCAGGGGCGGTTCAAAAAAGCATTGCCTATACGCACGCCTGGCTCAAGCAGATGCTGCCAGTCCATGTGTGCCAGCAAGCGCTCAGTGCCTCCAAGGTGAGTATCACTGACTCAAGTAGCTTGGGTTTTGGGCGCATGGCACCACTGGTGGCAAAGGCAAATTCCGCAGATCGAAATGCTTGGGAACACGCATTGACACGGGTATGCCATGATGAATGCGAGCAGCTTGTCCGAGAAACCTTGGAGAATTTCCATGACATAGCAATGAAGGACCCTGAGAAAGGCATTTCATTTACCCGCTCGTGCGCATCGAAAGTTGTTCAGAAGGTCGAAGCAGAAACCCTTGGCTGCTGTAGCCGCGTGTGCGGGTGGAACAACGTCACCTGCATGTCGTGGCCATTCTTGTCTCCGAACCAGAAGATCCAGTGGGAAGCGCAATGCTGCTCGGAATGGAATGTGCTCAAGGGTTCCAGTCGGCAAAGGATGTGCGATTCTGTGCTTTCTCCTGCAGATGCGGCCAAGGTTTCCAAGAATGACGTCACTGAGCCTCCTGATGTTGACACAGATGCAGTGATTGTTGGGCAAGACTCCTTCCTCTTCTGGACCGATGCTGGCGTGAAATCCGACTTGGCGAAGGATTATGCTTCCATGGATGGACCTCCACAGGTGGGAGAACCTGTCGACATGTTGATTCTCGGCTAAGAAACATGTCTTTTTGTATACCTAAAATTCTGCTCGCGGGTTTTGCGTACAAAAAACGTTCGAAATGGATTACTATACCCAAACTTACAATAATTCGGTGTTTTCTTCAAATTTTGGTGAGGAAAGGGGATCCAGGTTTTTGTTCAATTTTATTGTCGAGTGACCAAGGATTTTGATGCACCAGAAGCATCTTCGGAAGAAGGGTTTGGATCAGGGTTGGTTTGAGGAAAAAAATCCCGGTGATGAGTCTCTTTTGCAGATGGGTGAAGGTTCGTGCGAGCCTCCGCCAGACATGGTCAGTTGCACTGAGACCTTCAAGAAGTGGTACCGGAGCACGTGCACTCAAGAAACAGGTTGGAACTACAAAAACAAGGCTCATAATCAAGCCTTGAAGTGCAAATTCTCAATGCCGGCTGAGATTGAGAAGACTCCATTGGCCTGCAAAAAGAAGTTTGGCAAAGAGAAACGGGTGGCAAACTACTTCGAGTTCAAGCCGGACGATCAGAATGTCGTATGCCAAAAGGTGGAGTCGTGCAAGTTTCTCGACAAGAATCATTTTGCTAAGATCGGTGACAAAGAGGGTGCAGAGGAGAGGATGAATTTCGAACAGATTGGTTTCTGGCATTTTGTGCCCTAGGCTCTGGCCAAGAGGAGGCCTGAGGCCCGGCCTCGCAGAAAACGTGTTGCGGTCCGGCTGGACGTTTTAAATCTTTTCAGGGTTTTCAAGTTCTTAAATTATCTTGAACTAAGGTGGTTCAGATATGTTCAGATGGGCTCAGAACAATCTTCAACATATTTGTGTTTTCTGTTCAAAGATAGTCAAAGTGTGAACCTAAATTTTTGGGTACAATAGTTTTCCATACAAACAATGCTTGCAGTTGTGGTTGTGTAGCGCCACACCATGATCAGTGATCAGCGGATACTCATGCACGACGTTTATGCCTTCGGTTCTTGCGTGTGGCCTGTCAAGGCATGGTTGCCCGATGCGCAAACCAAGTCTGAGGCCGGCCCGGTGTCAATTCCACCATGCATATCACATCGGACAAATTCAAACAGATGCTACCAAAGAATTGAGCAAAGGGACCATAAAAAAGTACCGTGTATACAGACTCTGTCTCATGAATGTCTCGGAGACATGTATGGTTTGATGTGCTGAACCTACTATATAAAACATTGAAACATGTGGTGCTTTTAGATCACAGAACTTTGAAAGGCAGCGTAGCTAAAGCCTCGAAGTTGCAGCCGTGCTCGAACTGCAAAAGGCTGGAAAGTTTACATCCATGATGCATGGAGGGGGGGCACCGCTGTCCGCTTGTGCAATGTCAAATCCTTTCAGATGGTCAGATCATGGGATTGCATGGCGTTTGGAACCAGTGGACATTTGGATAACTTTGGCTACCTGTGCGTTCCTTGCTCAAGTTCAGCGGCTTTTTCAAATCATGGCGCTCCCATGGAGCATCCGTTGCCTTGTCATTCTCACTCCATGCATTCGAGCTGCTAGGCCAGCTGCTCGGCCTTGGTTAGGGCTGAAGAGCAAATCTTGTGAAGATTTCGGGGCAACTGTCTACATGTATGGTCATTGCTTTTGCCCAAAGGAAAAGATGGCGACCACTGATTGCGGAAATGACGGAGTGGTAAACTTCAAGTTGGAGTCAGCAGCGACTGGCTGTGAGTGCATTGATATGCCACACCCGTGGCCATGTCCATCAGGTGATTTATTATACATTTCCAAACCCAAAAAGGGCAGCAAAGTGCTCTGCGTGTGCCTGGATGGGTATGTGGCCAGCCCTGCATGCAGAGCACCTGGGCTCCAGCAAGTGCACATCAAAGCAAAAGAGCCACCTGGTTGTGAATGCATTCGTAAAAATGAATTTGCACTGGAAGAGAAGATTCCAGTGGACGTGGCGGCCCTGCAATTTTGTGAGGCCACAGTAGATGCTGCGCGATTCCAGCTCTTGGACAGCGGGTATGAACACGATCACATACCAGGGGCGGTTCAAAAAAGCATTGCCTATACGCACGCCTGGCTCAAGCAGATGCTGCCAGTCCATGTGTGCCAGCAAGCGCTCAGTGCCTCCAAGGTGAGTATCACTGACTCAAGTAGCTTGGGTTTTGGGCGCATGGCACCACTGGTGGCAAAGGCAAATTCCGCAGATCGAAATGCTTGGGAACACGCATTGACACGGGTATGCCATGATGAATGCGAGCAGCTTGTCCGAGAAACCTTGGAGAATTTCCATGACATAGCAATGAAGGACCCTGAGAAAGGCATTTCATTTACCCGCTCGTGCGCATCGAAAGTTGTTCAGAAGGTCGAAGCAGAAACCCTTGGCTGCTGTAGCCGCGTGTGCGGGTGGAACAACGTCACCTGCATGTCGTGGCCATTCTTGTCTCCGAACCAGAAGATCCAGTGGGAAGCGCAATGCTGCTCGGAATGGAATGTGCTCAAGGGTTCCAGTCGGCAAAGGATGTGCGATTCTGTGCTTTCTCCTGCAGATGCGGCCAAGGTTTCCAAGAATGACGTCACTGAGCCTCCTGATGTTGACACAGATGCAGTGATTGTTGGGCAAGACTCCTTCCTCTTCTGGACCGATGCTGGCGTGAAATCCGACTTGGCGAAGGATTATGCTTCCATGGATGGACCTCCACAGGTGGGAGAACCTGTCGACATGTTGATTCTCGGCTAAGAAACATGTCTTTTTGTATACCTAAAATTCTGCTCGCGGGTTTTGCGTACAAAAAACGTTCGAAATGGATTACTATACCAAACTTACAATAATTCGGTGTTTTCTTCAAATTTTGGTGAGGAAAGGGGATCCAGGTTTTTGTTCAATTTTATTGTCGAGTGACCAAGGATTTTGATGCACCAGAAGCATCTTCGGAAGAAGGGTTTGGATCAGGGTTGGTTTGAGGAAAAAATTCCCGGTGATGAGTCTCTTTTGCAGATGGGTGAAGGTTCGTGCGAGCCTCCGCCAGACATGGTCAGTTGCACTGAGACCTTCAAGAAGTGGTACCGGAGCACGTGCACTCAAGAAACAGGTTGGAACTACAAAAACAAGGCTCATAATCAAGCCTTGAAGTGCAAATTCTCAATGCCGGCTGAGATTGAGAAGACTCCATTGGCCTGCAAAAAGAAGTTTGGCAAAGAGAAACGGGTGGCAAACTACTTCGAGTTCAAGCCGGACGATCAGAATGTCGTATGCCAAAAGGTGGAGTCGTGCAAGTTTCTCGACAAGAATCATTTTGCTAAGATCGGTGACAAAGAGGGTGCAGAGGAGAGGATGAATTTCGAACAGATTGGTTTCTGGCATTTTGTGCCCTAGGCTCTGACCAAGAGGAGGCCTGAGGCCCGGCCTCGCAGAAAACGCGTTGCGGTCCAGCTGCTTTGCCCTTGGCGTTTTGTCTCCTTCACCACACGTTTTTAATCTTTTCTGGGTTTTTCAAGTTCTTAAACTAAGGTTGTTCAGATGAGTTCAGATTGGCGGAGAATCTACACGTCACTTTGGATTGTTGAATCACGCTCAACATCTGATTTCTGGCATATTCTGACAACCTGAGATTTTGCATCGTTTTTTTTTGGCCGGCGATTTGGCCAGGACTGGTGCAGGACTGTCACGTGCCTGGACAAAGTGTCGCACATGGTGCAGCTGTTTAGCATGGCGGCAACGCGTGCAACTTTGCTGATGGCATTGTTGCAACCCACAGCAAATTCGAAATGATACCCCCCAGGCTCAAAGACAAGAGCAACCAGCGAGAAAAAGTGATCTCTTTTGAAATGGCAGGACCCAATTCCAGAGTTGGCATACTGCAGGGATCTTTTCCCAGAATACGCATGTGCTATCTTGTGGCTCCTGTCAACCTGTGGCTGTAGATCTTTTGACTGGAATGATGCAAAAAACACCAAAATCCCCTTGTGGCCAGAGCTATTTCAGCACTTTACCATGCTTTGAATATGCAAAACGGAAAACTGTCTGAAGGTCCAATGCCTGCAACCAACATTTTTAACGAAGGGATGTCCATTACAACAACCAGCAACAAATCTGTACAAGATGCGTTTCATCCAATGCCATCGGAGTGGTTCAACATGACCACATTGGCATTGCTTGAAATTCATCATGCCTTCGCATGGTTATGATTCCTCATCTGCTGTTACTGTTGCTGGGGAGCTGCCCTCCGACGAGAACATCGGTGATGAACTGCACAAATTGTGGGACACGATGAATTTTGATGTCAAGGCACGGTGCGAAGTGTGTTTCGCATTGGAATCCATGGCCTCCACACTGAACCATTCTCTGGTTTTGCGTAGAATTTCAATGGGTTCACTGGGATCTTTTATGAACAAAAAACGGCCCATGTGAGGCTGCTGAACACGACTCTGCGACGACAATTTCTTTCGAGGTGTATTTATGATCCCAGATGCGCGCATCCCTTCTGTTTCCGTCGAACCAGACACAACCTCCAAGACCCCAACAACTGGCGCAGAGTTCAGAGACTTGGAGGCGGGTTGTTCAACTGGTGGTAATGTGGGAAACCTAAATATCTACAAATCAAATGTTTACAAACTACAAATGTTTGGCTTCAACTTGTTGTGGCCTTTGTTTGTTGGGAGTAGTGAGCTTGCGAACGTACCGCCTGTAACAAAAAAAGAAAAATCTGATGAACTGAAAACCAACTGACGGTGTTGGTGAGCCTGGCGGTGTTTTCAGCTCAGCTTTCAGAGTCAAGCAAATATAGCTGATCCTCCTGTGAAGAGTTGAAGATGTTAAACATGTTCAAATTGTTCAAGCTATTTTAAGATGTGTGGAAGTGCGGTGAAATCTGCTGAAACTTCCGTAGTTGGACGCCTTTTCCATTCCGCACTTGTGCGGCGGCAGATGCTCCTGGCTGAATGCTGGAAACCAACTGAAGTTTCCAAACAACTTCTGTTTATTATCATGTTGTGACATTTACATCTGTCACTGTTGTTTGAAGGATGATCTTTACTTCTCACTTTTTATTTAGATCAGATTGATGTCAGTCTTCTCACCTTTTGCTCTGTTGCGAACATTTTGATTTTATGTTCCGCGCAATTTTGGCTAGGGTGTGGAGGGTGGGTTGCACTTGACCCGTTCGATTTTTCTATCCGATTTTTCCATATCGCCATGGATGCCTGACAGAATTTTGGAAGATCTTGATTTTACGGGACGTGCATTCTCTGACAGAACTTTCAGTTTTCATTTGAACACTGCCTGGATTTGCAAGTGTTTTGTTTTCATGGTACTTGTGCGTGATTCACACAGTTTGGGCGATTTACCAGATGCAGCTGGTGCTGCGCAGTGGCCTGTTTCGCAAGGGGACAATGGAGGCCAGAGCGACATGGACTGGGAACACGTACAACTTCCAGATGCTTTGAATGATCATGATTTTGGACAAGATTCACATTTCAGTCCTTTGTTTGGATACGAGGAAAAGGAATTTGCAGAGCAGCAAATTGAGGAAGAATATTCACTCGCTGCAAGTTTGGTCAGACCAGATGACGTTGAAAACCAGACTGGACGCTTCATGGTGCCCACAGCCAAGGCACGGGCTGATAGGAACTTGGCTGAAACAGTTGACATGGATGTCAGTCGAACCATTGACAACCTTGTGATTCAACATGTGGCTGGGTCTTCTTCACTGCCAAGTTCTTTTTTGAATAGAATGGATTTTGACAATGTATTTTCACTGGACAGCATTTGGAGGCAACCACAGCTGCCTATGTATGGGCGGTTTGAATCTGTTCAGGGCGTTGTGCATAGTGCAGTGAGCTCGCATGAGGAACCGGTGCAAGGAGTCTCAGATTTCAAACGCAAAAGACTGTTGGCAACGGCATTTGCCAAAACAGATGATCAGCTGGTTGATTGTGCAATGCGGCAACTCAAAGAGATAGTTCTTTTTCAACCTTTGGATTCAAGACTGGGCAGAGCACTTCTGGATTTTTCAGGAAAGCTGGTACCAGAGTCGAAAATTTCAACTTCCTTTATTGATGCTGTTGCTGGCAAGGCGCCTGGCACAGTATCTAAAAGGGTTGCAGACTATCACCGTTTTGCACGATGGGCAGTTGATGGGGGACGTTGCTATCCCATGAACATTTCAGAGACTGTGGTGTACGACTATGCCAAGCACTTGCAACTGTCCGGAGCCTCTGCAACATCTCTGCAGTCATTTATCAAAGCAATTGGATTTTTCGAACATCACATTGGCTTTGCGAGGGTGGATGTTGCTCAAATTTTTTCTGGCAGAGTGAACGGAGTTAGCAGGACTATGCTTTCAGGCAAAAGGGAGTTGAAGCAAGCTCCACCACTTACTGCTGATGCGTTGTACGCTTTGGAGAAACATGTCTGTGAGTGCAACGATGTGGAGGCATGCATTGGAGGATTCATGATTTTTTGTTTGCTGGCATCTGCAAGATTTGCTGACGCAGCTCGTGCGGAGACCGTGCATTTGGACATGAGTGGTCACATATCACTGCTGGAGACGTCAAGCATGAAATTCAAGACAGCGCATACGGCTGGCAAGGAAGCTAGGAATGTTGCCCTTCCTATGCTGGCCCTGGGCAATGGGCTTTACGAAAAGGACTCTTGGGCATGGACATGGATTCGTGCCCGGAAGCGACAAAAGATGGATCATTTCAAATTTTTGATGCCGGCCTGGAATGAAGAAACATCACAATGGTTGAATCGTCCAATGACATCTGGTGAAGGTGTATACTTTCTACGTGAGCTGCTGTGCAACTCTGGTATGAGTGAGGCTCAGGCGGCTTCATACAGCACACACACCTTGAAGGCTACTGCACTGTCTTGGGCGGCAACATCTGGAGCCATGTCAATTGATGAGAGGCGTATCATGGGGCACCATTTTGACTCCAGGTTAGCAATGCCATTGATATACTCGAGAGATGCGCTTGCCGAGATTCAAACCAAGTTGTGGCGCATTCTGGACTCCATTCGAAAGGGTTACTTTGACCCTGATGCAACTCGGGCTGCTCGGATTGCTGCACAGACTTTGCAAGATGCAGAACATGTCGATATTGAGAACTATTCTGACGAGTCAGTTGACCCCATTGAGCTGGGTGCAAGCGAAACTCTGCCAGTGCCTCAAGCAAAGAAACCTGTGCACAATGGACCGTTGACTGAAGAAATTTTCAAGTCATGTTTGCAGCATGTTTTGTCAGGAGTTTTGCATGTAGCAGTGGACTGTGAAAATTTGGCATGTTCACGAAAAGTTTCTGCGAACTACAAGAAGCCTTCTTTTGATTTTGAAATGGCATGTGAATTTCCATTTTGTGCTCAGTGTGCACAGCATTCTTGATAGTGAGTGCTTAGTGCAACAGAAGCGTGAGTTGGGGCGGGCGAGAGACAAACAAGGCGGGAATCTGTTCAGCAAACATGTCGAATCTTGCTTACTGGCAATGCATTGGCTGGTATGATTTTTGAATCTCGCTGTTGCATTACCCAGCTTGACTTGACTTCAATTTGTTGCAGCATGAATTTAGCTGACAACACAGGGAATGAGTGAATTGAATTCCTTTGTGGTGACTTGCACAACATGAAATTGAATTTCATCGACCTGATGCGTGAATTGCTCAGAGTCAGCGCATGACTTGCGCACCAATGATCCGATGCACAACTGTCGGAGCCTTTGAAAAACAGTGAACAGCTTCATGAATGTATGTTTTCTTGCAGTGTGAATTTCATTGCATCAATGACACATGTTTGAAGGTTCACGACTGTGGTTCAACTTATGAAGAAACATTGCGTTTCAATTTCGATCTTGTTGAACACTGTTTTTCATGCGTTGATTTTCAAATCAATAACTCACTTTAGTGGACGTTTCGCTCTTGACTTGACAATCTTTTGCAAGATAACAATAAAACTGTATCACTCAGCGACGGCTGGTCGAAAGTGCAGCCATGTCCGGACTTGATTCGAAACATGCTTTCAGCTCACGTGCGCTGGAAGTAGGGATGCAAGAGGACCTGCTAGAGAAGCTCAAGGGAGCTGGGTTGGACACGTTTGGGAGCCTTGCTTTTTCAAGTGATGCAACGCCAACTTCAAACACTGAAGAGAAGTTCAAGAAAGCAGTCCAAGATTTGATTTTGGTCGAGGTTGCCCCAGCTGAAATGATTCCACTTCGTAGGCTGTGGTTTGAAGCGCGTGCCATGGTGCTCTCTGACATACGTAGCAGAACAGAAAGAACTGAGGCTGACCAGCCTAGGAAAATGCCACTTGCAGAGAGACTTGCTAGGATTGACAAACAGAAAAAGGAATTGAAAGGCCTGATCATCGACGCGTCAGTCGAACCAAGTCATGGATTGGTTGACAAGTTTCAAAACATGATCGAGGATGGTTGCTTGCTTTATGTAGGACCTGAGAAGTGCATGTCACGAGAAGAAGAAATTACCAAGGAAAAGAAAGAGTCAGCGCTGAGCATTGACCATGCTGGAGGTCTCAAAGTCACCAAGAAGGCTCAGGACTTGCAATGTGATGTTTCGGGCGAGCTTAGACTACGTGCGGCATTTACACGCCGATCTTTGGCCATGCATCAGACCAATTTGGTGACCTTTGATTTGATTGAAGAGTGGAATCAACAGATGTTTGCTGCGTTGTTGCGGCCGCCTCCAGCTGGGCACAAGTATGTCACGACACAGCAGATCTTGAGTGCTGACAAGCAACTGTGGATGCACATCTCACAGCAAACCCGTGGCAAGTTGATTTCTGGCATAGGTGAGAAACCACCTTTGGATGAGCAATTGAAAAATTACATGAGGTCTCCTGAAGTTCTTTGCTTCATGACTCCATTGCCATCAGTGCGCGCTGAAGCGCCTTCAGGACATCGTTCCGAGCCATACAGTCGAGCGGAACAGAGCAGTGGATCCGGCAAAGGCAAAGGGAAGAACAAATTTCAGTCGAAAGGTGCTGCGTCAGGTCCCAGCTCTGGGCCCACTATCAAAGAGATGCTCACCAACATGCCAGACGGCTGCGCCAGCAAGCTGCCGAACGGTCAATGGCTGTGTGTTTTCTACAACAGAGGGATTTGCAAACATCAGAAGAAAGCACGTTGTCATTTGGGGCTTCACCAATGTTACTACAAGGGTTGCACAGAGAAGCGACCTTACATTGAGTGTAAGCACTGACTTGGTGAGCCGAAACAAGACAATACAATTTCTCACCCTCATGCAGACAAACCAATAGTCTTTTTGGAAATCTGTGCGGGCTCAGCTGCGCTCTCTGCATCAATGCAACGCATGGGCTGGCAAGTTTTTCCGATTGACTATCATGCAAATCGTTTCAAAAACAAGATGCACATTTTTGAGTTGGATTTGTCATTGCATGAGAATATTTCACTCCTTGAAGGCATGATCGAACAGATGAAGCCGGTAGGAGCCCATTTTGGGCTTATGTGTGGAACTTGCAGCCGAGCACGAGAAGTGCCGGTTGCACATGCATTACGCTCTCAAGGAGCACCTCAACCTGCGCCACTCCGTGACGCGTTGCATCCACTTGGCCTGCCAAATTTGAGCACTCTGAACCAGCAGAGAGTTGACGCTGCAAATACTGTTTATAGACATGCTGTGCGCTTGTTGCATGCACTTTTTCGTGTTGGAGCATTCATTACACTGGAAAATCCTTTACGATCGTGGTTATGGACAGTACTTGCAACACTGGTCAAGCAATATGCACGCGAACACAAGTGCCCTGAATTTGCTGAGTGGTATTTTTGTTTTCACCCCGTGGAATTTGATTTTTGCATGCACGGAGGAAACCGTGCCAAGTCAACCAAGTTGCTGGTGTCGACCCGACAGTTTGAGCCACTGGGGATTATGTGCGACAAGTCCCACAACCATGAGCCATGGACAATTGTCAGTGGATTTGATAAGTGGATTTTTTCTACTGCAGCGGAAGCTCAATATCCTTCAATGTTCTGTGATCGATATGCTGAATGTGCAAGTACAATGGTCGCTGCCAATGCACTGGAGTATAACTCAAAATTTTTTCGACTGCAATCTTTAATGGCCCAATCCATTCAAGCCAAAGGTCATGACCAATTGATCCCTGAATTTTCCCAAATTATTGTCACTACGGTACTCCCTCAACTGCCACACAAAATTTTGGCTCGCTTGGGACACGGGGGAGACGACAGCGAGAGGTCAGCTGAAAGCTACAAGGTTGGCATTTATTTCAACCATCATGATCACCTCAAGCGTTCTTTAGAATTGCAGCACCCTGCATTTACGCACAAGGGTGTACCAGATGATTTGAAGAAAGCTATTTTCTTTGTGGCAACACACTCGATGGCAGATGTTGCCCTGTTCCGCATCAGCAAGCTGGGAGAATGTGTTGAAATTGCAAAGCGACTGGCTCTTGCGGAGAAACTGGCGAAAGTCAAAATGGACAAGAACGTGGCGGAGGTGACCAAGGCAAAACGCATTGAACTTTGGGAAAAACTGCTGACCCAGGTTGGGTTCGAAGACATGGAGGTTGTGCGCTATATGCGCGAAGGAGTTCCCCTGACTGGCTGGGAAGACGAAAGCGCTTTGTACAAACAACGATGGGCTCCACCTACAATGACAAGCGAACAGTTGGACCACAGTGCTTTGTGGCGACGAAAAGCCCTTATGGGCAAAGCCTTTACTGACGAAGAACGTGGGCTTGCAAAACTGCTTATGGAAGAAACTATGAAAGAGGTATCTGCTGGTTTTCTGGATGGTCCCTTTTTGGAGTCTGATATAACAGAAAGGCTTGGGCGTGCGGACTGGTCAATGTCCCAACGGTTCCTTCTTTTGCAAGGTGAAGACCTTAAACCTAGAGTGATTGACAACTACAAAACGTCGGGAGTGAATGCGGCCTTTGGAACATCGTCGCACCTTGACCTGCACGACACCGACGTAATCAGTTGCTTTCTTGCGTTTGCTTTGGGTGTTTTCTGCGGAGATCCACATATCGACATCGAACTTTCTTCAGGTGACCACCTCACTGGTCGAAGGCACCCTGACTACGACCGAAAGCCTTTGCTGCTGGGCAGGGGCATCGACTTGAGCAAGGCGTACAAGCAGGTCAGTGTTGCTCCTCAGTCTGCTAGACATAGCGTTTTGGGAGTGCGAAGTGAATCTGGCGAATGGAAGTTCTTTATATCGAAGTCACTGCCTTTTGGAGCCACGTCCAGCGTTTTTGCATTCAACAAGATCACGCGCGGTATCTGGACTTTGATGGTTCGAAAATTTCACCTCCTTACCACTGTATTTTATGATGATTTTCCTGTTATTGAGTTTGAACCTTTGGCGGCAACAACTACGAACGTGGTGCAGCACCTTTTGGATTTGCTTGGGTGGAAGCATGCTACGACTGGTAAAAAGAGTGTTGATTTTTCTGACACCATGCAGGTGTTGGGAGTAGCATTCCACTTGCAGAACTTTTGGAACAAACAAGTGACAGTGGCGAACCGCCCAAGTCGGATACAGAGGATTTTGGAGATGCTTGAATCATACGCTGCCAAGGGTACTGTGTCTGCACCCGAGGCGGCGACTATGCATGGATTGCTGAATTATGCTGGTGGCTTTGTGGTTGGACGTTGTTTGAAGCCTGCCGCCAGACAGTTTGCAAGTTTGCAGTCAGGTTCATCAGATACAGAGCTCATATCGCGCTTGTGCAATGATACATGCAGGATCATTAACCGAATGCGACCACGAGAAATTCGCTTCCTGAGCAGCGATCGTCCGGCAGTGATTTACACGGACGGTGCGTACGAGAATGGGAATGGAACCTGGGGTGCAGTTGTCATAATCCCTCAACTTGGCATTAATGCAATTCACTGGGGAACCATCCCACCAGTCCTGATGGAGCACTGGACATCTATTGGACTTCAGCAGAAAATTTGTCAAATTGAGTTGGTTGCAGTTTTGCTTGTGAGGTATTTTTACCGCAATGAACTTTCCAATTCTTCAGCACTGTACTTCGTTGACAACGAGGCTGCACGTTTTTGCTTGATCAAAGGATCCAGCCCTTCACTGTCCATGTACAACATCTGTCGTGCAGTGTCCTTAGTAGAAGCAGAATTTCCTTCCGCTTCATGGTATGAAAGGGTGGCTTCGGAGTCAAACATTGCTGACCTGCCGTCACGCTCCAAACTGAAAGAATGCCAGGCAATCTCGGGAGGAAACCTTGCAGGCGATATATGCTTGCCTGAAACAATGCTCTTGGAAGTTACAAGAAAGTGAAGCTCTTTACATGTCGAAAAAAAAACGGGGGTGACAGGCGACATGACTTGTTGACCTGAAACAGTTACCAGACACTTGACTTGTGTTTGTGCGGTTTCACCCCCGACTCAATTAAGATAAGCAAAGACAAAAAGAAATATTAAATACATGTCCGACCTTCGAGCGATTTGCGTGGCGTTTTGAGTTTTACGTTTGTTTGAATAAGAAATTTAATTTACAAAGGGACGAGCACAAACGTTTGGCTTCAACTTGTTGTGGCCTTTGTTTGTTGGGAGTAGTGAGCTTGCGAACGTACCGCCTGTAACAAAAAAAAGAAAAATCTGATGAACTGAAAACCAACTGACGGTGTTGGTGAGCCTGGCGGTGTTTTCAGCTCAGCTTTCAGAGTCAAGCAAATATAGCTGATCCTCCTGTGAAGAGTTGAAGATGTTAAACATGTTCAAATTGTTCAAGCTATTTTAAGATGTGTGGAAGTGCGGTGAAATCTGCTGAAACTTCCGTAGTTGGACGCCTTTTCCATTCCGCACTTGTGCGGCGGCAGATGCTCCTGGCTGAATGCTGGAAACCAACTGAAGTTTCCAAACAACTTCTGTTTATTATCATGTTGTGACATTTACATCTGTCACTGTTGTTTGAAGGATGATCTTTACTTCTCACTTTTTATTTAGATCAGATTGATGTCAGTCTTCTCACCTTTGCTCTGTTGCGAACATTTTGATTTTATGTTCCGCGCAATTTTGGCTAGGGTGTGGAGGGTGGGTTGCACTTGACCCGTTCGATTTTTCTATCCCCTCCCAAACTTCGTTTTCCCTCCCTTATCTTGTGGGGGGGTGACAGGCGACATGACTTGTTGACCTGAAACAGTTACCAGACACTTGACTTGTGTTTGTGCGGTTTCACCCCCGACTCAATTAAGATAAGCAAAGACAAAAAGAAATATTAAATACATGTCCGACCTTCGAGCGATTTGCGTGGCGTTTTGAGTTTTACGTTTGTTTGAATAAGAAATTTAATTTACAAAGGGACGAGCACAAACGTATTTTTCTTTAGGTATGATTTGAATGCCCCAAAATGGTAGAACTGGGTAGATTGTTTGTTTTGCATTACCCAAATTGCACGTTCGATTCTTGTCAATTTTTTGGGGCTCATCAAATCTGCCAGATTTGAAAATTTGGTTGCAACTTAAAACAGATTTGAAGGTTCATTTTTTTTTGCAGTCCAAACTGTAAGTGCAAACTATCAACGTTTTTTCTGGTAGCCAAGCTAGGACTGCGGCTGACAGACGGCCGTGTCGTTTTGAGTATATAGGTTAGGTGTGTTAAGTGACTGTTTCAAGTGCGCTGTTCCAATGGCTTTCAATGGAGTAGACTGTTGTGGTTGCCAATGCGGCTGTGCCATGCAAAAAAAATGAAAATTGGTAGTTTACCTCAACCAGGAACCGATTTTGAAGGTGTTTGGAATTGACATAGTTACTCTTGCCAAGCATCATGTTCGTTTTCCTGTTCCAGCAATTCTTGGAGGTTCTTAAAAACACCTTGTGGCGCGGGTGTTTTATGACTTTGTCTCCAAACCCACATGTAGATGTATTGAGAAACATGTGGGTATTTCATGCGTGTGCACAGATCCCTGAACATCAACATTCCACCCCACCCCATCACACCCCACCCCTGTATGCCGTACTAGCAACAGCGTAACACTCTCATCAACGTCGCAAAAAGTAACATCGTCAGCGTGTGCACAAATACATGAACAGTAACATCGCACCCGACCCCACCCGACCCCATCCCCACCCCACCACACTGTATAAACACAAAAGTGATAAAACCACAGGGCCGTCTATCAGCCGTGGGCCAACTACTGCGCCTCAAGTCTCGTGATGCATTCATACATGTTGGTTGTTGGTTCCAGCTTTCTCTCCCAACACAATTGCAAGGGATCTTGCCGAATCACCAAATTTTGTGTTCCCTGAAAATGGGCTACCACAAAATTATGGGTTGCCATTAAACATGACCAACTTCGGGATTTTGGGATACAGGGTAGCAACATTATTGTTTCGGGAAAGGTCTCCACAATGGCTGGCAACGTCATCAAAATCCCAGCTACAGATTTCAGCGTGGCCATGGTGAAGAATTGGAGGATTCCGAACAGCTTCCTCCGGCGGGGTCCGCATGTTTGTTGGTAAATGCGACTGACACTTTTTGATCGGTTGGATCTGATAAATGATGATAAATGATGATAAATGATGATAAATGATGATAAATGATGATAAATGATGATAAATGATGATAAATGATGATAAATGATGATAAATGATGATAAATGATGATAAATGATGATACATGATGATAAATGATGATAAATGATGATAAATGATGATAAATGATGATAAATGATGATACATGCACATGCATCTGAGGCATCTGTTGAATTTGTGCGGAAGATGGATGAATTTGTCAGGAATAGACCAAACATGCTGTGAATTCTTCCATGGTCCAATCATGTTCTCGCGGAATGCCCCAAGCGAGATACCTCAACCCATGGACCGATGGAAACTCAAAATGGCAACCGAAGAAAAATGGAAACTCAACATGTTCTAGCTTTTGACCACAGCTGATGGACCATTGTTTCCGCAGCTTTCTGTAGAGATGATGGGCCGTTGGCCCTGGCCGCGCAGTTTGGGCATCTGGAAGTGGTCCAGTTGCTGCGGGACATGCGCGCCATGATCCATGCCACAAACCACACTTCGGCCACGAGCCCAGCTGAAAATCAGTAGGGTCGCATTGTGTTTCCTGAAAAGGTTTGTTTTAACACGGCAAAACTAACACCTTTTTGTTTTTGGTCCTACTTACCCACAGGAAAGAGAAGACCCGGAGTTCGCAAACCAAGGATTTTGATGAGAAAACAGACATTTTCATGCTTAGGAAACGTTTGTTTCATCTCCTGAAGCTCAAAACAAACTCAAACATGGCTAGTTTCAAGACTATAGTTTCCCATTCCAGAAACTGCTGTTTCACGAGATTCTTTGAGTTTCAATTGCTTTTTGTCGGCGTCGCCATATCTCCCCATAGACTGTTTTCGGATGCTTTCGGTGTGCCGCATATCACAGTGACCCATGGAACCGCATGTTTGCCTCCACATCCTCCTTGTCGGCCTCACCAAGCACCCTGCAACCCCATGTCGGCCTCGCCGTCCTTTCTGTCGTCGCCAAGCGTACAACTGCATGTCGGCCCCCGTGTTCGCCGCATGGTTTGACTCGTCACCAATGACTCGTAAGAACCAAACTTCTGAAAAAGCCACCAAAACTCAAAAGCGAACATGTTGCAGAAAGCGGAGGTAATACGGTAGTCACAAACCACAAATCTGAATGACGCGCGGCGCAGACATGGAAGTTGCGTTGAGAGAAAGCAGTCTTTCTGCAACACTTTGAAGAAATTGAAAACGTGTGGAACAATCTCAAATTTTCACAACCGCATCCTGCGTCTCCACTGCGACCAAAAGGCTGTTTGTAGCCGTTTGCCTTCTAGGGACCCCTAGAAGCAAACTAGCCTCGTCCTTCGGCCAAAGAAACCTTAGTTTCCGAAACTCGAAACTCATTAGGTTTTGTAACCTTTGTCTATCTTTGTCTTTTCCGCTCCTTTGCAAAGTTTCTTTCCCTCGACAAACCTTTCTCCTGGGCCCGGTGTCCACCGCAGAGTCGCGCCACCTTTTTGAAGGAGACCAGTCTTCATGGGGCTCAGTTCCAAGTTGGAGGTAGGCGAGACTCCTTGTTGAGTTTGTACTTTGCCTGGGATGATCTCCGATTTCCCAATGCTGTTTGATATCTCTGGAAAAGAATTTCTAGATTCTAGGTTTGATGCCCACCGGTTGTCCACAAGACAGTGTTCAAGTCGCAGAAAGGTCAACAAAATGTGCAGTTCTGTGATACAGTGTGTCACATCATGTCGCATCGCAGATTCACATTCTCAATCAGCATTTTGGTTGATTGTGGTCTGCAAGCCTCCATTGCTGTTGTTATGAGTCAAGGCAGTTCAGCTGTTTGACAATCCAAGGTCCAATTGACTCATATGATATTCATATGTGGCCACCAATTTCTGAGATCAAACCTTTTCAGATCCCATTTGACCCCATTCTTCAGACCCAAACGTTTCGCCACTTCCGATCAGAGGCTTTCGCTGGACGGACGTTGCCAAGCTTGCCATGCCGTTGGGAAGTGGCACTTGGGCTTCGGATGGAGCCTCGGATCAGAGAATTCAGTTGAAGATGACACACACTTAGCATATTGAAATCGTTTTATCGTTTTATGTGAGTTCGCTCTTTTAGGATCAGTGTTCATGTTGTTAGCAGCTGAGTGACTGGCAGGTAAACTCAGATTCGCACACGCATCCAGTTGTAGGTTGGGAATCCCTGTGCCGCTTGGATCTCAGAATCAGTAACATGTTTTTGGCTCTGAGGTCACTAGGTTCTCGGCTGATTAGGTGCTGGGTGGTACTTACTCCCAGGTACAACCTTGTGTCATAGCCGCTTCATATCTCTAAAGTTCGACTCCAGTTGACACAGTCCGAGTCCCAGTGACACAAAGGATCACAAAGCGCGAAAGCAAACGCGGCCTCTTCAGTGCGAATCAAATCGAATCAAAGGTGTGTGAGTCGGTGCTGAGTTTGCCAAACCTGTGTTATGTTTTCATGAAGGTTTCATGTGTTTATCAGGTTCGTATGTATGTTTCATGAATGTTTCGTATGATTTTCATGTTCGCACTTCAACGCTGTGGCACCGGTGAGGCCGCAGGCAGTGTCGACCCTTCGGCCGTGTACCCCAACAGGAGATCTCCCAGGACCCCGTGAGATTTTTCAGATTTGACTTCTCAAAGAAATGTTTCAAAGTACAATTTTATTAACAGCGTGGCAAATTGCATTTGGCACTGGAGCACAACATGTGCAAAGCAACATGTCCGCCATATGCAATGCAGCCGCGCTTTCCATTGTTTAGCTATTTTGGCTCTTTTTCGACGCTGTGAGTGAATTGGTGTCGGACATTGTTTTTGTTCAATGTGTAACTCCAAACAAGGAAAATTGTCTTGAAATGTCGTGAAGTGTTTTGAACCACTTGAAATTACATCAAATTCTTGCACGTTTTCTTTTAATTAAATCTGACGCGCGCGGCTCGTTCACTCTTCCTGAGATTCCTAGATACCCTGTCATGCTGCAATGAGAGTAAAGCAATGGAAACGAGGCAGGATGTCTGTCAATGTCTTTGTATTGCTGTTCATTTGTTGATACCTTCGACAAGCTTGTTTGAAGCTGCTGACAAGAAAACAACCTTGACAGGCTGGGTGATCTTGGCTATAGCATGGCTTGTCTCCAGGTTTGTTGCCTCGCCCTTAGTTAGGTTTCAACGTACTGGATCGAGAGCGTGTTGCAAAGAACTTGGTGCTTGCATTCCTCCAAGGTGTGCCCATGCAGAACTTTCTCCCCGCAGAAAACTTCGCAGCAACATGGTGTGGGACCTTTGCGTGCAGCGCCAAACAAGGACCACATAAAAGGAATAACAAAAAAAAGACATGTCGCGCCAAACTCTTTAAAGACATGTTGCATGTTGTGCAGCCGACGGATGAGGCACACAGCCGCCGTTGAATTCCCTTCTTTTACAGGACAACTTTACTCTGTTCAATTGTTGAAAGCGTGGGTTTCAAGTTTTCTATTCCACCCTTAACCTCTTGTTTCAAACAGCTTTGCTTTTGCTTCGCTTCAAAGATTCCCTGCAACATGTCACATGTGACATGTTTGCTCCAGACGGGTCATCTAACGCCCAGTTTTAACAGAAAGCGAAAGAAACAGAAGAAGGACAGACCTATTAGCTTTCAGAAAGACAGAAGTCATCAGAGATAAGTTCTCCTGTTGCGACAGGCTGTTCAGACTGGAGATGAAGAGAAAAACATTAAGTCCATTTGAAGAGACGTTTTTGAAGAGACGTCTTCATCCCCGTATGTCCTCATTCCCCTGTATGTCTTCATTTTTGTCCTCATTTCGCCAAAAGAACTCGTCTCCGCAGCACTCGGCACGACAGGCTGATGCCTTGACCTTGGCACGACGTCAGCTGAAACTTGCCGTGGACCAGCAAGAAATGGCAGTGGAAGACTTGCAAACTGCCAGGCAAACAGGAGATGAGCGGAAAATCAGGGAGGCGAAGGAGGACGTGAAAGAGGCGGAGGAGAAGGTGCAGAAGGCGGAGGAGAAGGTGCAGAAGGCGGAGGAAAAGGTGCAGAAGGCGAAGGAGGAAGTCCAGGAGAAGGCAGCTGCGCAGCTTCAGTGTCACACTTCTTCACAGTTCTTCAGTGCAAAAATAGATGAAAGAAGTGCGTTCACATTTCTTCGCATTCGAATGGCATTCTCAATTGTTTCCGATTTGAGCATAGAGCTGACTGTTTCCTGCAGGTGGACAGGGATGCAACAGCCTTTGCCAATGAATTGGCATCGATCGGGCAGCCAGAAGGTTTGGACGCTGGCGTGCAACTCTTCAAGCTCAACCGGTCCTTGACAGCAGACTATCGTATGAGTGGCACAGCGATGCTTTCAAGGAAGACGATTCGAGTGGCTTGGGATGCAGCCTTCGAGGAGATGGAGCAGGGTCATGCCTTGAGGGTTGCAATGGTGGGCATGCCAGGCATTGGCAAGTCCCGCTCCCTTACCTATGGCCTGTGGCGGCTGATGACAAGAGAGGTGCCTCCTGTAGTCGTCTTCGAAGCACGGCGTGGACAGAAGGTGTTCATCTTCACTTGGCAAAATAACCAGTGGGTCGTCCGCAGCGTTGCCATCAACAACTGGATACCCGCGAATTGCAAGTACTTGCAGGATGAGAGGAATTTCTACCTCATCGATGCATTTGCGCCTGAGCAGTGGGATGCAATTTTGCCTGCCAAGACCATCAAGGCATGCAGTCCGGACCGGAAGCATCACTCGGGCTTTGTCAAAGATGGTGGCATTTACGTTTATGTGGAGGCTTGGTCAGAAGCAGAGGTGGAAGCAGCTCATCCCTACATTGATGGCGCCCCAAAGCTTTCTGAAATGCTGAGGAGGTTCGAGCAAGTGGGTGGCAACCTTCGTGTGTTACTGTCCAATGTCATGGAATACGACAAGTATGTGCTACTGCAAAGGGAAGACCCAAAGAATTTGCGCGCCGTGGAACGAGCAGTGCGGGGAGATTTGGACACTCAAGGAGGGCAGATGCTGACCAGGCTTTTTACCTATTTCAGCAAAAATGGCAGGTCTTCCTGTGTTGGTTTTTGCTCCAAAGGTGCTGCAAAGATGGTGCTTGACGCTCACTATGATGACTTGATGAAGATCTGGAGCAATCCCAATGACCCGGAGGGAGATTTCTTGTTTGAACAGTTTGTGGGCACTATTTTTACAACCAGCCTTCTGGAGGGCCAACGTTTTGACCGCTACAGCATCACGAGAAAGGCCGGTAAGTGGGACCATACGAAGTGTCAGCCGTTGATGCCTTGTGGATGCCAGCTTCTGGAATGTGACAGCGAGGTGGTTTTTGACCAAAGGTGGCGTGCAGCGGTAGAGAAAGGTGGGCTGGAGGAAGTGTTGCTGCACACTCCGAAGCAATACCCCGGGATTGACTACCTCTTAGATTTCAACCATGGAATACAGGTGACACAGTCAGACAAGCACAGCATTGCGCCAAAGTTCCTTGAAAAGCTACACACTGCCTTTGATGGTCACAAAGGCTACAATTTCACCTTGACCTTCATGGTAGTTAGGGAGCCTACGAGTTTCAAACCCAAAGATCTCAAAGAGTTCAATGGCTTGATGAAGCTGGCACAGGGGAAAGAACGAGTGTTCAGCAAAGTCTGGGTAGACGTCATCCAGATGCCGAAGACCAGAGACTCTTTGCCAAAGAAAAAATGCTGCAAGGGAAGTGCAAGCAGGCGACAGTTTTCAGGCAACCAACTTGATATCATGGCTATCCTTATATTCCCATGGAATTTCCAACATTTCAAGACGACACACGGTCATTTTGGTTTCAAGACGACACATGCGTCCCTTTCTTCGCGCCTTTTAGATGGGTGGCACAGTCGCAGCACGGTCCTTCTTTAAACATCTTCAAGTCCAAGAAATAAATCTTCTTCTATTCTGTTCTATTCTATTTACTCTCTTCTTTTTCTCTACTTATCTTCTCCTCTTTCATCAGACATTGGACAACTGTTGGCGCCAGGAGAACCGCTGGTCGTGCTTGGAGCTGAGCACAGGCCTGGACGAGAATCCGTGTGTAGAGCCAACATGAAAAGCTGCAGATATCAAGGGATAAAATGTGCAGGTATCAAGGGATAATAAGAACATATATTAAACATATATTAAACTACAAACGGTGAATCACCTGACATAAACCTATACCATTTGGTTAGGTTCTGATCGGAAACGTCTTCGATCACGGAGCCTTTTCAGCTAGATTTTGGAAGTCAAAGCTGGTAGTGGAAACATTTCCATAACATCATAACATCTGAAGGTCGAACATGAATGGTGGATGGATGCTTCTTTTCCAGCCAGGTGAGATTTCCGGAGGGTAGCCATGTTTCAGGTCAGTGCGTTGACGGTTTTGCGCCGCGAAGCTCCTGCCATCACCACGGACGAATTCTTGGGCACCCTGGCCTTTTGTGTTCACGATTGGAACGACACCACGGTGTCCAAATGGCATGGAATTGATACCTATAAAAACTTTCCAGTCACCAAAGAGGAGATCTGATTGGTGGTTTGGAACATGAATTTTATTTTCCCCAATAGTTGGGATGATGATCCAATCTGACTTTCATATTTTTCAGAGGGGTTGAAACCACCAAAGAGGAGATATTTGAATGGTTCCAGAGATTCCGAAACATGAAACACACCGCCTTCACGGTCGAAAGCTTTCTGACATCTCTCAACGTCTGGTTCCAGGAAAGCAGAGAAGATGATAATGCAGAGGAAATAGTGCACCCCGAGAGTTTTTTGACGGATGCGGGGAGATTGCAAGGCTTCAGCATTGTCACTCTCCATCCCTCCTCCAGGCAGGGTTTTGTCCAAAGAGAACCAGGAGAATCTCCTGAAAGTGTCCCCCAAAAAACTAAGATTGAACCCCGCAGAAATCTCCACCCACCATTATTTCGCTGCTCAACCGGCATTTTTTTTGGGTGATTTGTTGGATTCCACAGGGCCGTTTCTATCGGCCACTAGGTCTATGAAGGGACATACTGTCACAACGACACTGAGGAGTTCATGCTGTTCATCGCAGGTCGTTTGAAAGTGGCATCGGACACTCTGATGGTGGCAGCTATTCAGCTGGTTATGACTAACATAGCCATGGTATAGATGACCCATTTATAGATGATGTACCTATTAAAAGTGATGATTTTCCATGGCTATGTTAAATAACCAGAGGGTATTCACCTAAATTGTGGATCTGATGACAACTTTCCAGACCGAAGAGCCTTGCAGGTGATAGAAAAGGTATGAGTTGGGTGGCAGGAGATTCAAAATGTGTCTGAAAATGGGGAATAGCATGGGATAGGCATCATCCATGGCAATCTTGGAAGAACATTTGATGATAAATCATGGAATTTTGAGCTTTTCCCGTTGCGTGAGGATTTGTAAGCAATCCATGCCATGTTACGTTTTTCCCGCGTTGTGGCTTAGCCCAGTCTGCGCAGTCGCCTATGCTTCTCCAGACGCATAGCTGGGATCAGGATCCCCAATGACTCGATTTTGTCGGATGGGTGGCTCAATCGCCAGGCAAGTCGTTGTTTCTTCCGGCCACTAACCTCCCCCGTTCATATTAGACCCCCCCAATTGTATGGTTCCATTATGTGATTTCATCAGCTACATCCGTCACGATGACCCTTGGGGAAGGGATGACTTCGCGACTTGGACTTCATAGATGTTGTCCCAATTCTTCCCAAATATAGGTGGGAATTCTATAAACGCTGTCCCAAAAACTGGGATATTTGACTGGGTAAACGACGCCCTCTAAATTTACCATGAAAAATCCGTACACCCAAGAAATCATCAACAGTTTTCCATCTCAAAAATCACCAGGAAACCAATAGTTGACCTAGTTATGTTCTAGTGATGTTTAGCAACTTAGCTTACTGGGGCACCACCTTTTTAAAACTGGGACCCCAGTTGCTACCCTGTTCCCATCCTGAGACAAGGGTCTGCTCCGCAGCATTTTTGTTTCAGCCTGGCTTCGCCGCGGCGCGACTGGGGGCGCCATGGCCACGCGAAAAAAGGAAGCCACGAAGTCGGAGGTGGGGTTTCGATGGGTTTTGGGTGAATGGGATGACTTAGCTCGGAAAAAACCGTAGGAAAAATGGGTGAACTTTTCATTTCAAGGAGTTTTAATATGTTCTAATGTTGTGGAGTTTTTTTGTTGGTGGTTCTCTCTTGGTTGAAAATATCTTTTCTCCTGATTGGTGAGAGCTGCCATCAGGATTAATTTGGGGTCATGTCCAACGCTGTTTTGGGAGTAGGTTGGGCGCCCATTAACTTTGGAGCTCTTCTAATGTGGGAAACACAATCACAAACCTCCAATTGTTTTGTTGTGCCCATTTGTTGCGAATATATATGTATATATATATTATATAATATATGATAGTAATACCTGATTGATTCCTGGGTTTACCTTTTAACTATTGAATCTGTTCGTGAATAGAACACATTTCAAAGCGGAGCCAGGACTCCTCCGAGGAGGTGCGACTGATTTCGATGGGACGACTGGGATTTATAAAATGGTGATTTTGTAGAAACTTGGGGGTTCGGCTATGAGATTTTTTTGTAGGATATATATATATATATTACAGTATTAATGACAATTGGCTGTGTCTGAAAATGGTTAGCATCCCCTTTTTTTTGGCACGATCGGTTGGAGATAATCAACCAGTGGATGGGGTACCCAATTTTCGGAACCCAGAGTTGTGTAGATGTTAGATGCATTTAATGTCAACCCTGGATTAACAAACCCCCTAGATTTTTTAATTGGGGGGGGTACCATTGAAGTATTAGATGAAATGACTCTTGGAGGAGTACCCTTTTAATTGTCATAAACCATGGTTTAGCAAAATCCGGGGTTGACATTGATATAAATGAAAAGAAGGGTCCGGATTGGCCCTCCTCAGTTTGAGACGGTGATTCATCCTATCCCCTATGAACCCCATATGAAACAGCCTCGTCCCAGTCGTGATTTCATCACTTTCTCACCATGGTGACTCTGCGGATTGGGTTGTTTCAGACGGCGAAGGATTGGTCATGATGAAATCACCCAGCTGAGTCGATTCATGGTTCACCTGCACCACGCACTTGAAATGGCGGTGAAATGATGGTGGTGAAACCATCGGCAAAAGTCGCTGGAAGACTGTGCTATCTTTACACCTTCAAACGATGAATGGCTTCAGATCTGAAAAAGTGACCAGCCATCTGAGGCGGTCCGAAGAGCGGTCCGGAGAGGGTTCCCCCCCTTTTTACTCAAGTGACTCACCAATGAGTCATTCCGTTGTCATCCTTCATTCGTAAGCCAATTAGGGATATTGTCCCCAATCCCTCATTTTCAAAAACTCACGAACTGACCATCCTTAGTTATCAGCCTCATCATACTTAATTTGTTAAGCCCTGATTTCCCCCATTTTTTTACATCGGCCCCGGCTAGGAGGAGAGCCAAGAAAAGGAGGAGAAAGCCGAGAAGCCCGAGAAAGCCGAGCGGGCCGCGGTGCGATCCTCAGTCATCCCCAAAAAGATAGGAAAGTAAATCGTCATCAGAGTAGTAGGGAGAGAGATATATATATATTTGTCGCTATTTTTTGGGATTACTATGTGCTAGTGGCTAGGGGTTTCTTAGTATCTTATTATTGTGTGTGCTGCATTAAACCACTACCAAGATAGTGGAAAAGATCAACTCTCATTCTGTTTTGGGACCCCGACTTCTGACTGAAGCAGGATGACAAGCAGGTTGGCTGCAGCTCCAAGCAAATGTTTTCGACGATATCAGCCAGTAATTTGACATGGAAAACGAACTAAGATGATTCCGTTGGGTGAAAACACCATCTGATTCTCCATACCCTCTTCGTTGATTTACTGGAGGTCTCCACACAAAATTCTTCTCAGTCCAAGTCAGGTGAACTCATTAGAACTTCCCCCATTTTTCCCACGAAAAACAGCTGCACTCGCCATCATTGTGGTGAACTTTTCATGTTGGAGAGGCCAAGTCAGACGCCGAGGAGGACACCGGGCGTCGCAGGCAGAGGCGAAATCTGGGGTCAGGGGTCCATTTTTACTGATGATTTGATGGTTTGGAACTTTTTTTTTTGGTGAATTGTTTTGGCAGTTCTGAAATTGATGTTTTATCGTTTTTCTCATCTATTCTGAAATGTTTTTTTTTGGGTGACTTTGATTGCTGGGATTGAATCAGCCAAGAATGGGCTAGATTGGATTGAGAGCCATCACTTGGGAGATCAATATCCGGAGATGTGACACCAGTGACACCCCCAACCCGGGGGAGGTCATCAACAAAAAGGCAGTGATCAAAATGGGGAATGTTCAGTGGCCAGAAGAGTGGTGGAATGGTTTTTCAGGTGGGTTTAATTCATTTCTATCCTTCGGATTCCTTTGGGGGGTTTGCGAAACATGAGTATGCAAAAGAGAACTGGGTGTTTTCCCGTCAATGATCCGTACAGTTGTTGATCACTAGTGCTTGAAAATTTACAGGATATCAAGACTTGGGAACTGGTGCAGCGGATCTGCTGGTGGCGATTTGCTGGGTCTGGTCAGTGGTTTGGTAGGGTGAATCTTGGCCAAATCAGTCAAGGAATAAAGTAAGGCACTACGAATGAACTTTTTTGGATTTATCATTGGATATATCCCTTGGAATTCAAACATGGCAATGGAAGATCTCGTACTTATAGATGATACCCCTAGTTGCCTGGTTTATAAACCCATCAAACATAATCTAACTACAACTACTTCATCACCATAGGCTCCAAAACCAACAGTCAACCTACTTAAAGCCCAACTTAGCTTGAGAACTGGCTGATCAAAATGGTTGAGCCACGGGGTTTGTCATCATTTTCCGCGGGCCTTCTTCACATCGCCATCATATTGTCTAAATGTATCCTTGCATTCCACAATAGATCACTTAATATATATATATATAATATAATATAATATAATATATAATATAATATAATATAATATATAATATAATATAGTATATAATATAATATATAATATAATATATAATATATAATATATAATATATAATATAATATAATATAATATATAATATATAATATAATGTAATATAATATAATATATAATATATAATATATAATATAATATAATATATAATATAATATAATATAATATATAATATAATATAATATAATATATAATATAATATAATATATAATATAATATATAATATAATATAATATAATATATAATATAATATATAATATAATATAATATATAATATAATATAATATAATATATAATATAATATATAATATATAATATAATATAATATAATATATAATATAATATATAATATAATATAATATAATATAATATATAATATAATATAATATATAATATAATATAATACAATGTAATATAATATAGTATAATATAATATAATACAATATAATATAATAAAATATAATATATATATATATATTATATCCATGATGTATTCCCATAATAGATTCCGATTACATATCACGTCCAGGTCCCGCAGTGGTCGCTCGAGAGGGCGGCGCTCACGCTCCAGAGGCGTTAAAATTCTCCATTGGATGACATTGGATCCACAGGATCCATCTACGAAACTTCACTAATGAGGTAATTGACAATCATAAACTAGCCATTTGGTTGTGGTTTATACCACCTATAAAAATGGTGATGACTGGGGGATGGTTTATTATTGTTTTGACCACTTTTTAAAGCTTTGGTTCAATACATCTACTAAACATTCTATGTACATTGCTCAACACAGCTTGATATATATGATTGCTATTTTGTTGTCCAATGATCATAGGATATAATCTAATAGTCATGGTAGTGAGACACTGTAGAAATAAACAGGTTTTCATTCATCTCTTTTCCCTGGTGGAATGTTTTGGGCTTCTTCATTTTCGGGGTCCTAAAGAGGGGGGATTTGCCATGATGGGGAGGGGATTACTTACCAAGGGCGAAGTCATTCATTGATGGCATCTAGCCATTTTCCCATGACAATGGGGTCGTTCACCACGATTCACCAAGCATCTTAAGAAATTGCAATCCAGCCAGTGAATGGGGCTGCCAAGAAAGTGCTTCGCAGACATCTTGCTACTGTCTAGTTCCTGAACCCAAACTCAAAAACGGGACGAAGTTGGGGGTTGCTACACGGCCACCTTAGTCGGCAGATCCCCAGGCGACCGCGACCGCGATGGCCGGGCCCGGACTGGACGTGGCGGGCACCGCCACGACGATCGCCGCGGCGACCGCGACCGCGATGGTCGCGGTCGGACCGGGCGGGGCGGGCACCGACACGACGACCGTCGTGGGGACCGACCGCGACGACGACCTATGTGGGGGGCTGCGTTTCTCGCGACCGCGGGCGCGAGGCTTCGCGGCGTGCGTCGCGGCGGCGTGGCTGGGGATGCCCAGTTGGAAGGGGGTGGTGATTTGGACCAAAGGGGACGTGATTTTGGATGATTCTGGTGAGATTCTGGTGATTTTAGATGATTTTGGATGCTTTGGATGTTGGATGTTGAATGATTACAGATAAGTTCAGATTATTTTTGAGGTGAGTAGCAACCAAAATCGGATGAAAGCCGTCAAGGATTGAATATCCGGATGATCTCTGCAGATGGATTAGCACATAAGGACCATTTGAATGGGGTGATGAACATCCTTGCCAGCCAGTTTGGTGTTCACCGCTCCCGCCATATCCAACGAAAGATGGTCATTTCGCAAGTTTGTGGATTTTTTCCGTTTAAACACCAAACATGGGGCATTGGAGCAGTCGAAAAAGGGATTTTCATCAGCAGAAATGGGGAGATCGTCACATATTTGGCATTCAACTTTCCCCATTATATTAATTTGTTATATATAGTTATAAGTTACCATGATAATATAATATAATAATATTATATACTGTATATATATATATATATATTTGTTGGGTGACTCCCACATTTTACATGTTATTTGGCACTGAGCAATTTTGCTGGTTGCATTTGGATTCCTTGGAAATACACCCCTGAAATTCAACAAGACATCTGACAAATGGAGTGCCGGTTTGGTGGTTTGATTCCCGGAAAGGGCCCAGCTTTGGGGTTTCATATGAAATTCACGGTGTACCAACACTTCAATGGGAATGTCAGGACCCTAAAATGGAGGTACTGTACGATATAAAGCCATATCTTGGCGGCCAATCCCCTTGCAAAATAGCCCTTAGACATAGGCCACTTATTCATATACGTATAGTTGGTACCTCCAATAAATCGGTGCCTGTTGCATGGCTATTTTTCAGATTTCTGTTGATGCCCACCCAGGAGTTGGGAAACTAAGCCTGACTATCAGAACAAGTTGGTCATACAACCCATTGTATTCCCGTTATCTTTCTAGCTGTCAATCCCCATATCGCCATCAAATGGATCGATATCCCATGATATATCCCCTTTTATCTTGTTTACATTTCCCGATGATTAATTCATAGTCATTGGTTAGACTAGCAATAATAGAAATCATTCGTTATACATGTTTATAAATTTTCATGTAACCCCCTAGTCTTGATTGTTACAAAAGTTAGACCCATATTCTTGACTCATGGTGTATCAGTTTGAACCATTTTGATTAAACCAAAACGCATGTTAAACCCATCAAATCCATCATTGGTTAAAGCAGCAAAGTTGATTACCTTGGATTGTCATTGTACAATATACTATTCAAGTTGGTCCCATTCGACCCCTTTTTTTGATGGTCATCATGGGATATATATTTTTGAGTGAGCATAAGGGTCACATGTATACCTTGAAGTACTCAAGCCCTTTTTTTGATGGTGACTTCACAAAACCGGAATTTTTATCATCGAAATTCCATCTGAATTCCAGTCTTGATGATTACTTCACCAGTTTGAATGGTGGTCATCCACCTTAATTCAAGTATCCCATTTGTTTTTGATGCCCATATGCTCCATGTGTGGAATATTTACCAACATTTACCCCATAAATGACCCAAATGTAGGTAAATATACCATACATGGAGCATATGGGATGGTGAAGCCCTAATTTTTCGATGGTTCACCAGGCGATGACCGCGATCGGCGGCACCGTGACGACCGCGAGCGGCGCAACGAGCGCAACGAGGACCGCGGCAACGAGCGGCGGCGGCGACGCGAGGAGAGGAACCTCGCTTTGGAGGAGTGGGGTGGGATGAGGATTTTTAACCACAGATATGGAAGAAACATGTTTTTTTTTGTTGAACAACTGGAGAAATATGGATTTGAAAGATTTTTTTTTGGCATTTTCAGCAACACAACTGGTGATTTTAAGTAGCAGGTATTGAGTCTTAACGAGGAAAAAACATGTTTTGACCTACTGAAAGTAGATTTAATCAAGTAAAGGTTCATTAGGGGATACTTTACATGAACACCAAAATGGGGACGAAACAAGGGGGTTGAACTGGTGGTACCAGGGTTGGCATAAATTATGAGATCAAACTCAACTTGCCCCGAGCCGGAACCGGCACCCTGGAACCCTGGAACCTTGGAACCTTTACTGCTGTTGGGTTTCGAAGCTTGGTTAACCCCCGAATTCCGCTGAGATCTATGGACCATTCTGTTCATTCTGAGTTTCACCTTTTACCAATAGACCAGAAGTTGGACCCGTTCCCGTTCGTGATGCGAAAATCCAACATGATGCACACAAGGTTCTCGTTTTCATAGCTGTTGATCCAAATGTGGTAACATGGCAACCGTTGGTAACCCAATAGCAACTCCCATGTTTTCAAAGTTTTGTGACCAACCTGCGTTTTAAATGAGCCAAGACAAGTTCTGGCTATGGATCAATACCTTCAAATACTTTTTGTTTGAGGATGAACATCCATTTACCATCTATTTTGGTGTTCGTCAGGGCACTAGAGTTTTGACCCATAGCCATATCATCTATGAATCCCATCGCCACCTCCAAAAAGGTCGCTAGATCCAATGGAAAAATGCTGGCTGCATCAGGTTTTTACAATGGGAAAAATATGGGCAAAACCATGTTGATGATGGTGGGAAAACCTAAGATTTCTTGAGGACGATTTTTCTGGATTGTGAGCTGATTGTTTTTTTTGGGAAACCATGTGGTTTCTCTCATCCAAAAAGTTTCATCTTTCCCTGCGGCATTTTTGACCATTTCTGGGATTGTTGGTTCTGTGAGACACTGCACCAAGGAAAGTTGAGGAGGATAGCCACTTGGCGAGGTTGCCATGATCCCATAAAACACGACAAATTTTTGGATAGATTCACCAAGCTAGAATATTGAATAAGCAAAAATAAGCAGCAGAAAAAGGTTGGAGACAGAACGCACAGAGATTATGACAAAAACACATCAAATGAAGGATCTCCCTATACTCTCTTGAATTTCTATACTGTAAACATTATTGTTTGTCAATTTTGTATCTTCGAAACGAAGAACTTTTGCGGAAAAAAATAGGTTCCCGATCCGTCGCACCTTCTGAAACATGTGCTTGCAGATGACGCAACAAGAAGAAGACGAAGAAGACGAAGAAGAGGAAAAATAGGAAGAAGATGAAGAAGAAGAAGAACAACACCAATACTAGAAAGGGCAAGAAAATAGCAACTTTTTATTTCAATCTCCCACCAAGCTAGTGGGCTTGAGCAAGGCTACTTACAGCGCTTTTTTCCGCTGCAAACGGCAAAGAAATCGAACTTTGTGCGGAGACTGGTCACATTTCATGGGAAACACAATCAAATTCTGTTTCTGCAGTCAGAATTTGTTTCTTGTGTTAACAGAGCACGTCATGTGACAATGGTGGAGGTTTTACTGCCGATCCAATGATTTCAATGGTACAGGTGACCAATTTTGTTTCTTTGCATGTATATACACTAGTGTGACACGTATAATAAACATATATATATATATATACTGTATATATTATAAATGATATGATATATTCATAGTATATTAAATATAACTATATATACATATACACACATCTACACATATATGAATGAAGAACATATAGATTCACAAAGTCACGGCCGCGGCGGAAACTCTATCATGACGACAGTTTTTCGTCAGCCCAGTCATCTGCCACCCAAGGTGATTCCTCCGAACCTGAAAAGAGGACGCAGATCGTGGGTTTTTAGATGGTGAACATGGATTTGGGGCATGGTTGCTTTATTTTAACACTTGACACGGGTGAAGATTCAAAACTGTTGGTCAATAGATGGGTTACCCTCCTGTGTGCTAATGGCTAGCGATGGGAAATCCCCCATCAAAAATGGCTAGCAATGCTCAGGGGGAAATCATCGTGGAGAAAAGAAGCTAGCCTTCGCTGGCTGGGTAAGGTACAAGAAAGAATTTGGGAAACTCGTTACGGTAAGCCTTATGGGCCCAATGGGTAACTGTGGGCGCGCTGCCCTTTTGTCGGTTTTTGATTCCTCTTTTTGGTGTCGTTTCACACCCTTTGTCCTTGCTGTCTAAGGACCTGGCGGCTAAGGCCCTGTCGACTAAGGTTTTGGGTTGTTTTTCCTTGGGTCTTCAGCTGCGCTGCGGCGCGGCTGCACACGTGCGCATCGCAATTGGGCGCTGCGCATGCCAAAGTTCGTCGTCGTTGCTGATGAGGGTTTTGCTGCTAGTCTTGACTATTCCAAGGCTTATGACTCTATGTCTTCTGAGGCGTCCGCCGATTTGTTTGAAGCTTCTGGTTGGCCCTGGGGATTGTGCCAGGTCATTCGCCTTGTTTGGGGTTGTCAGCATAGGTATGTTTGTTGGCAGGGTCACGTTCATCCGGTCCCGTTGCGGGACGCTGCTTGCGTCCCTCAGGGTTGTCCGTTTGGTCCGGTGGCTTTGTCGGCCTGGATGGCGTCCGGCCTGGCCCGTGTTCGTTTGGTTCCTGGATGATCGCAGTTTTACCAGTTCCTCTGCGCAAGGGTTGGTTCATCAGGTTGAGGCGTGGGAGTGCTTCTCTCGTGCTGTTGGGTTGAGGGAAAGTGCTGAAAAAAATTCAGCTTACTAGCTCTTCTGCGTCGGGTCTGCGTGACTTACAGGAAGTCTTTCAGTCTCCTTCCCGCGTCTCTTTTGACTTCGTGGTTTTGGGGTGTTGCTCTGCCGTTCGTTTCCGTGGTTTGTCTAAAAAGGAAACCGACCGTGTCGCTGCTGCTCGTCGTGTCTCCTTGCTTCTTGGCCTTCTTAGGCTTGGTTTTGAACATTCCTCGGTCGCGCTCAGGTCCTTTGCCATTAATAAAATGGCTTATGGTTGGGTCAGTCGCCTCCCCACTGTGGTTGTTTCTTGGGGGCAGTGGGCCGTCGTTCGCTTTTCTCAAGGTATTTTTTCGGCTGCCAACAAGTTCTTGAGGGCTATGATGTTTGGGGGTTTACTTCATCCGGACTGTGTTATTGGTGTGACTCTGTTGCGCTTGGTCTTCAAGGCTCGTCTTGGGGGGGGGGAGTGTGGTGTGATCATCCTCGCCGCGGTTCCTTGCTCCGTAACCTTATGGGATGGTTCGAAAAAATTGATGTTCAACTCATTCGGTCTTGGGTTTGGTCTGCGGGTCATCCTCAAACCCAAATTGATTTGAATTTCAACGATGGTTTTGATATTGCTGCCCATCGATTACGGAATGCTTGGCGTTTGTATCAATGGAAATCTTTTCTCAAGACTCAACGTCATGAGGTTCCTGAACTTGCTCACATCGCTGATAATGTCATTCTGACCATCGATTGGAAGAAACTCAGAAATTTGATCAAAACTTCTCCTAGCATGAGAAGTGTCTCGATTGGGGCCTTGCTGTCTCCTGCTGCTGTGGCTCGTAACCCTAGATCTCCGTTTGATGACAGATGTATATGGGGGGAGTGCTCTGAACTTGGGAGTCATGAACATATTTATTGGAGTTGCCCTCACAGGCCCAGCAAACTTAGACCGGTTGATGCACTTGATGCCAGATATGGGTGGAGAAAAGAAGCTAGCCTTCGCTGGCTGGGTAAGGTACAAGAAAGAATTTGGGAAACTCGTTACGGTAAGCCTTATGGGCCCAATGGGTAACTGTGGGCGCGCTGCCCTTTTCTCGGTTTTTGATTCCTCTTTTTGGTGTCGTTTCACACCCTTTGTCCTTGCTGTCTAAGGACCTGGCGGCTAAGGCCCTGTCGACTAAGGTTTTGGGTTGTTTTTCCTTGGGTCTTCAGCTGCGCTGCGGCGCGGCTGCACACGTGCGCATCGCAATTGGGCGCTGCGAATGCCAAAGTTCGTCGTTTAAATCATCAAACTCAGCTGGTGTGAGCTGGCCTCCAGCGTGGCTCCAGCGGGCGTAGCTGCTTTGGGACAGCTGCGTACGAACAAGCTCGTCAAGGGAATTGCTGATGCTCTTTGTGAATCATTTCCAAGTGGGGGGAAAAAAGTGACAAGAGCCCAAAAAAATCTGGGAAAAAGACAATTCCAAAAAAAGTCGGGAGGCGATGGGCCAGAAAAAAATGAGGAGAATAAAGGAAAAGTGAATGAAAATGACAAATGCAGGTACAAAAGAGAAAAAGTTGGTTCTTTTGGTTTGGGTTGGCTTGGCTGGCTGATTACCTGGCTTTTGGCTATGGCCAGCCCCGTTGAAGCTTGGACCGCAATTAAACCAGGCCCTTTGGGCCCCCCCACGGTTGAATTGCCTGCGGATGTGTGCCATGGCAACCTACCTGAGTTGCCGCTTGTTGCCGCTGCATCTACCGACCGTCACCTGCTGCCTTCTACAGCAATGCTTGGCGGTTCTGCAAATTGGGGCAACCTGGCATGGGCTGAAGAAACTCAAGGAACATACACTAGTGCGGTTCTTGCTGCTTTATGTGTCGTTCTTCTGCAAAGTTGGTATATATTACTCTTCAATAAAACCAGTGTGGTTGGAGTATTCGCTGATGAAATGATTTCCAATTTCCTTTCAGTTTGGGGAAGGGAATATGATAGGGACATTTTGAGTGCTAGATGGGTTGGCCATAGACGTGTCACAGCCGCTCGCTGCGGTTGGAAAAGGCGGCATCGTGTGAGATGTCGTTGTACACACACTGGTCAACATGATGGCACTGTTCCTAATCACGTCAATTCCGAGTTTTGCACTTTAAGACCTCTGTTTCCTAGCAATGCACCAGCAGACGGCTGTCGCGGCGGTGGGGGAGGGGCTGCGGCAACTACTCGAAAGAGAAATGAAAAACAGGCCATTGCCTCCGCTGAGGCTGAACTTCTCCAAGCCTTGGTTGGTGTTCTTGGAAGGTTTCAACAGCCTAAAGCTCAAGGACACAAAGGAAAGGGTAAAGGAAAGTCTAAAGGTTCTGAAACTTCCCCTGTGGAAACTGGGGATCACAAACAACTTGGCCTCTTGGAGGCAATCGTTCGACTTGTTGAACGAGCCAAGCGGAACCCTGCGGGACTGTTGGATAGGCTGCAAAGTCTTACAAATGCTGCGGTTCAAGGACGCAGTCTTGGAAAAAGAAAAAAGAAAAAACCTCAAAAACCTCAGGTTGACAAAGGTGGTAAAGGTAGTGAAAAAGGAAAGAACAAAGGACAGGGCAAAGGGAAAAACAAAGGTGTTGACAAAACGGACTCTGCACAGACAAATGAGAGCCCTTGGATCACGGTTGCAAAAAAGAAACCGAAGGTGTGGGAACCCAGTTTGCGACCTGTTGAATCCCCAAGCGATTATCGGTTAAGGGAACATGATTGGCCTGGGTTTGAAGTCGTTCCTACGAGCCGTAAGTTGGGAGCCATGTTGGAAGCCAATGCCAAAACCGGCAGGCTCAAACAGTTTGTCATTTCGTGTCCTAACTATGATGACGCTATGCAATGTATTCAGATGGCTCGAGGAGATCAAGCCAAAGTCACAGTGCTGTGGCCCGACACAGGGGCTGAAAAGATCGATTTCCCTGATTGTAAATCGGTCTCTTTGCCGGTTGTCGCGCAGACTGGACGATTATTAACCAGGAATATGTTCAAGTGGAGCTTCAATGCTTCCACTGTGCCAGAACAGATTAGGGTTGTGGTGCCGCCGGAAAAACGGCCGGCCAACAAGTCGTTTGAACAGAAAAATTTGAATACCACGGTGCTTCGGGTGACCTTGGATTCTCGTTTTTGTCATTCTGCTTCTTGGAAAAAGCTGAAAGCTACGCCGGCTGTCATTGTTCGACAGTGGATCAAGGAACATGCCCCCGCAGCGGAAGCTTTGACAAAGGATTCTTGGGGTTGGGAGCTCCAAAATGGTGCTGCTGGTGAGGGGACTGTTGTCAAAGGACTGTTTCGTTTCAAACAAGGTTCTGAACTTGAACAGGTTTTGATTTCCTCGGGTTTGATTTCTAGTGGTGTTCGTGCTTACTGGGATCCTGTGAATTGGGAACAGACTCCCATCAAAAAGAAACCTTTTATTTCATGGGTCGAACAACTCAGTAACGAATCGTATGCTGACTATGCTGTCAGGGCCTTAAGTCTGACTGGTGGGCTTGGTTTGGCTAGAGGATGGAGACAACTTGGGATCCGCTCTTCACAAGGGGTTCCTGTTCCTGAATTCATTTCTCGAAACTGGACGTTGAAGGGTTGTCCTCGACACTGGGATCAAGAGGATCTCGTTCAATTTTTGGAAGCTGCCGATTTCAAGGATATGGTTTTTTATGCCAAGAAAAGAGAACGTTTTGGAACTTGTTGGCCGTTTCGTGGGAGTCACAAGGGTCCTCAAACGTACATGCAGCTTCTTTATGAGGGATCTGACTTTGAAACCGGGAAATTTTTGGTTGTTGAAAAAACGCAACGCAATGGACTTTCACAAGGATCTACTAGATTGCAAGGGGAACGTAGAATTTCCTTGGGCCCTGGTAATCCTAAGAAAACTGAAGTCACCCTAGTTGATGAACAACTTGGGGAAACTCAGCTTGATCCTTCTGAAGAGGGAGGAAATTCCCAACCAAACCAGGAGGATCTGGATAAACAGGAGGATGCCAGCATGAGCACGGCGAATAAAAGGGCGGCTGGTTTTGGTGGAAGCCCCGAAAAGAAACGTAGCCGTGTTCATCCTCTTCCGGAAGGTGTTGCCAGAATTGCTAACGAAGGATCCGGAAATTGTTTGTTTCTCAGTGTTTCTGATGCTCTCAAAGCGGCTGGGG